CTTTCTTTCTTTCTTTCTTTCTTTCTTTCTTTCTTTCTTTCTTTCTTCAATTCCTTCTGCATTACAACCACAAAAACCATTACTCACTAACCTATTATTAAGGGTGAGACAAGAAGGAGATGAGGGAGTGGGCTACAGCCAGAATACAAAGTGAATAAATTGTAATAAATAATAATAATAATAGTAATAATAATAATAATAATAATAATGAAAAAAGAGAAAGAAACCAACCTGCTATTGTCCCGTCTTTTGCAATCTTAGATGGCCCAACTGCTTGTGGATTTTCTATCTTGTGACGCTTATCTTACACAAGTAGCTTAATGCTTTTCAAATTTAAAACCCATGAAAACTTAAAACCAGAAGAGTGAGGTCACAGTATCAGCTCCCAAGTTCCTGCTACATGTCTGGGTGGTCAGTTTGATGTTCAAATCAATAAAGTTGCTCAGCTTAAGAAAATTTAGTGTGTCCCTGGTGTTGGATTTTTACTAGACTGGATAGCATTTATGTGATAATTGAGCTCCTACAAGTGGCAGGTACCCTGACTTGTGTAGGGATTTTCTTTTTTTTTTAATTTTTTTTAATTTATTACAATATATTCACTCTGTATACCATCTATAGTCCCTTCCCTGATTCCCTTCCAACCTCTTCCTCTCTCCCTCTTCTCCTTCCATCCCCCTTCCCCAGTCCACTGATAGGGGAGGTCCTTCTCCCCTTCCCTCCGACCCTAGATTATCAGATCTCATCAGGAGTGGCTTCATTGTCTTCTCCTGCGGTCTGGTAAAGCTGCACTACCCTCAGGGCAGGTGAACAAAGAGCCAGCCACTGAGTTCTTGTCAGAGACAGCCGCTGTTCCCCTTACTAGTGTACCCACCTGGATACTGACCTGCCATGGCCTACATCTGAGCAGGGGTTCTAGGTTATCTCCATGAATGGAACTTGGTTGGAGTATCAGTCTCAGAAAAGAACCCTGTGCCCAGATTTTTTGGTTCTGTTGCTCTCCTTGTGGAACTCCTGTCCCCTCCAGGTCTTTCTATCTTCCCCTTCTTTCATAAGATTTCCTGCACTATGCCCAAAATTTGGCTATGAGTCTCAGTATCTGCTTTAATACCCTGCTGGGTATAATCTTTCAGAGGTCCTCTATGCTATTTTCCTCTCCTGTTTCATATTTTCTCCATCTTCTGAGGTCTACAGCTGGGATACAAAGTAAATCTATTGTAATAAATAAAAAATTAAAAATAAAGGAAAACAAAACTAATGATACCATCTGCAGGTCAAATGACAAAATTCCTGTTGAGGACAATTTCAGCCAAAGGCAAATTCAAAATAAGAGGCTGAATAGAAAGTATAACCATGAATCCACATAAATATAACCATCTTTCCTTTTGACAAAGATGACCAAAATATACATCTTTAACAAATGGGGAGAGGGAAAACTGGATGTTAAAAGAATGGACTTGATCTGTATCTATCACTTTGCATAAAATAATCTCCAAATGCAGCAAAGATCTCAACGCGAAAACAATAAAATACAAAACTGTTTAAAAAATAAAAAACAACAACAAAAACCAGACACAGTCCTACAAAAATAGGTGGAGAAAATTAAAGCACTGGAATTGACAAATGGGACCTCCTAAACCAAAAAGTAGAGGAAGAATTTGATTGAAGAGAAAGCCCTGAGCATGTTTTCAGAATATTTTACAGCTGTCTATCAGATAAAGTATCAATATCTAGAAAATTTAAAAAACTCAAATATAAAGTATCAAGGAAACAGCAAAATAATTAAAACTAGGTGCTGGATCTGGATTGAGACTTCTCAAAATAAACACAAAACTGACTAAGGGATATCTTTAAAAGTGTTTAACATCCTTAGCAATTAGGGTACTGAAAATTAAAATTATTTTGATATTTTGTCCTACCTAACTACAATGACAAAGGTAAAAGAAAACCCAACTGACAACAGATGATGATAGGGATAAGGTAACATTAATATATAAGCTATTCAAAAATACATAAAATTATTTCTGTGCACAGAAACCTAAGTAAGTATGCCACAAAGCACAAAGAGTGATAATGTTTACCACCACAACAACAATCATAGTTTATCAAACAAAAGTAATCCCAGTTGCAGGCATGGGAAAACTTCTTTCAAGTTGTTGATTAAGGAAATCTGTGAATCTAGGAGATACCTACCACAACATATTTTATTGCTATTGCCTTTAGGTACTCACAAAATCTGAAAGACCCTATTAGTGAAGAGAGTAAACAATTCTGAAACAGAATGCAATGGAAACTAGCTGGAACTAACCTGGAATCATCCCTTCTGAACACTAGTGGCTTTCACAGTAATGAAAGTGCTATTTAAGCTGCCTTGGGGGGAAAAATCAAGCAATTTTTCTACTAGCTGTAAAGCTTAAATAAAATGAAGGTCCATTCACATTTTTACTTACAGGGGATATAGTGTCAAACTTTACTATCATGTAGCAATATGTATGCCTTTCTCACTATGGCCCCTACTGGGAAAAATATGGCTAGACCTCACTCATAACTAGTGTAACAAATGCCAACAGTGATTTATGTGTGGATCTCTGTGTCCCGTTTATCTCTGAAGAAGAGCTGAAAATGATCATATTTAGCTTAACACATGGATTAAAAGCTAGGACAGTAAGCGAATAGGTTGCCATCTTTAAGAAAGAGCTATGGATATTCATGCAAAGAATTTGTTAAGTAATAGAAGAGAAAGGAGCTGTCTACAAGAGCAGGGACTAGGTCTGAAACAAACAAGCTCTGGACCTGTGGACATGAATGGAAGATAAAAGTTCTTGCTTTGTCATCATTGTACACTCAATTGACTCAAAGTTGTACTCTGAACTCCAGTGCTGGTAACTATAACCCTTTAAAAAGGATGATGATGTGGCAAGCCCTGATGAGAACTGAGAAGCTAAGGTCAGACAGAAGGTGAGGAAATCCTCCCCTATGAGGGGACTAGGGAAAGGCATAGGGGGAGAAGAGGGAGGGTGGGTGAGACTGGGAGAAGACAAGGGAGATGGCTGCAGTGGGGATAAAAAGTGAAATTGTAATAAATAAATTTATAAATAAAATTAAATTTTAAAAAAGGATGAAGCTCTGATAGTGTCACCGGGGACTGCTTCACAACAAAGACCATACACAGAGAGGACCTAGACCCCCTGCTTAGATGTAGTGCATAGAGAGCTCAGTCTCTATATGAGTTCCCCAGTAAGGGCAGAAGACAGTCTCTGACGTGAACTCTGTTGCCAGCTCCTTGATCATTTCTAAGTGGAGGGGCGACCTAGATAACCCACAGAGGAAGAGAATTCAGGCAGTCCTGATAGCCTAGGGTCAGACAATAGGGAAGGAGGACTTTCCTTATCAGTGGACTAGGGAAGAGGGATAGGGAAAGAAGATTGAGGGACTTCATCTCTTCCTAGAGATGAAGGCGAGGGCTACAACTGGGACACAAAGTGAGTAAATAATAATAATAATAATAGAGTCAAAGTGAAAATTTGATAGAGTAGTTTATACTTCAGGCAGTGGAATACAAAAACCTGGAAACAGTACCAAACACTAAAAGACTTTCGTCAGAGGTTAAAGCACAGTAAATTTTTCACTTCACCAAGGACATTTATTCTGTTTCATTCTGTTTTCTAATGAATGATTGCTTTTGCCTTTCAACTTGATGTTCAATCTGAGACTGAGTCTATCAGTTTCCATTCAGTATTTTTTTTTCTTAACAAGAATCTCAAAGATACATTAAATAACAAACATAAGGACATGCAGATTTTTAAATATTTTAGTAGTTTAATTCTTGATTATGCTAGGTTGCTTTAACCACAGTCTTCCATGATTAATCCATAATTTGAAACATGCATAAAATACCATTATCAATTCTAAGAAAAATGATGCGTAGATAAATGACAATAGAAAATAACATGATTTTTTTTTTGCCAGATACATGAATACAATTAATCCCAGGACATGGAATATATATTCTCAAAAATGATAGGTAGTTTTTTGGTAAACAACATTCACTGTTGAGAAAAAAAACAAAACAAAACTTTTGTGCTTGTAATAAGATGTTTTGTGCCAGTAATAAGAATCTGAATGATACATTAAGGAACAAGCAGAAAGACATGCTGATTATAAAAAAAGGTAATAGTTTAATTCTTTATTATGCTACATTGGCAGGGTTTGTTTAACAACAATCTTCCATGATTCATCCACAATTTGCAACATGCATGAAAATATTAGGCACCTTAATTGGCAGGAGAATGGTACAAATTTGAGACCAATAATTGGTGGTTTCAAATATTTGTGGAATAAAATTCAGAGGGAATGCATTGCATACTGAACTGTTCTCATCCTTAAATTAGTCTATATTTCATCTTATTACAGGCACACAATCTTTTTTCTTAATTTTTGCAAAAGAGTATTATTCACCAATAAAAGACCCATCAGTATTTAAAATATACATTCCATGTTCTGGAATTAGTTGTATTCTTGTATCTGACAAATAAAATCTATTTTATTGCCATTTATCTGTGCATCATTTTTCTTAGAATTGGTAATGAGCTATTAAATTTCAAAATACTATTAAATATTTTAATGATTGTAAACACATGGCAATAATAGCAAAATAACTTTTTGTCTCTCTAATTAGTTATCAATAGACAATTTATTACTTTGACTTGTAGAGTTTTACACCCCCACCAAAATTTGTAAAATGCAATTCTCAAATTGTTTTTAAACATTTCTTTTGCTTTATAATAATATTTAACAACTAGCTTAGCATGAAAAGTAGTCTCTTACCTAGTGCTTCACTGTAAAACTGATCCCAAAATGAAAGGTCATAATGCTGGATCCAAAATTCAAAAAACAGTGAAAGTATCATATTTTTCACCCTTTCTGGAAAGGTCATACTGTCTGTTAGTTCACCCATGATGACTGGCACATAAGAAAGTGGAACTGGAAGCTGGCCACAGTATTTTTCCATGCTATAGCCCATGCTGAACCTCAGCGTGTTTACAAAAGGAATCTGAAGCACGTCTGCCACGAGCTCTCCACAGGGAATGATGGGGTCTATAACCATCACATCATATTTTGCATCCCGGAGCTTGCTCATGACTGTCTGGTTGTACAGCACACTCCTGCAAAGATCTTCAAAAACTTCAGTCAGCTGAAGAAGGAAATCTTGCAGTGTTCTTGCTGCTTGCCACAAGGACAAGTTTGGAATGACATTCACAGCTAGATTTACCAACTCTTTTAGATAATGCTCAGGAATCTCATTTTCATAAGGCACAGGGATATTCTCAAAGTGCAGTGCAGAATGTTGATTCTGATCTATAAGGATAGCAGGATATTTCAGGACTGTCACTTCATGCCCTCTTGCTGCCAGTGCCTCAAGAATAGTCTTTACGTTCAGCCAGTGGCTCATGTCAGAGGGCCACACAAGGACCTTGCCGCAGAAGCCACAGCCAGCACAGCACAGGTGCAGCAGAAAAACTACTGCGGCCCATTTCTCAGGAACCATGATGTGCCTCCCCAAGTAGCTCTGCAGAGATTGAGTGTTTGTCCAGTTGCATAACAATGTAGATATAAAATAAATTAAATATTAACTTTTTAAGTTACGAAAACACACAAGTAAAGAGATTTCTGTCTGATAAAACACCAACAGACTATTGTTTTGTAGAGAATAAACATTTAAATACTTATGAAGAACTGGATCTATTTGTTTAACTCCTCTACCTTAAGCTCATTGAAACTGGAACAAGATGTGATATTTTAAAATTAAGAATGTACTCTTTCCTGTCTTTTCCTACTTCTTATGTCAATCCTGTTTGTCCTTCTGAATAAGGACTAAGCATCTTCCCTAGAGTCCGCCTTTTTGTTTAGCTTCCTTAGAACTACAGATTTTAGTATGTTTATACTATATTATATGGCTAATATCCACTCATAAAAGAGTACATACTATGTGTCTTTCTGCTTCTGGGTTACCTCAGTTGGGATATCTTTTCTAGTTCCCACCATTTACCTATACATTTCATGATTGATTCCCTTGTTTTAATAGCTGAGTAGTAGTCCATTGTGTAAATGTACTACAATTTCTTTATCCATACCTCAGTTGAGGGGCATCTGGGTTGTTTCCAGGTTCTGGCTGTTATGAATAAAGCTGCTATGAACATAGTTAAGCAAATATCAACAGGACAGGAGCCTTCCACAGAAGGCCTCTGAAAGACTCTATCCAGCAGGTGATAGAAGCAGAAGCTAAGACTCATAGCCAAACTTTGGGCAGTGTGCAGGGAATCTTATGGAAGAAAGGGGTGATAGAAAGACCTGAAGGGGGCAGGAACTCCACAAGGAGACCAACAGAGCTGAAAAATCTGAACCTAGGAGGCCATGCAGAGACTGATGCATCAACCCAGGACGATGCATGGAGAGGACCTAGACCCCCTGCTCAGATGTAACCCATGGGCAGCTCAGTCTCCATGGAGGTTCTCTAGTAAGGGGAGCAGAGGTTGTCACTGGCATGAGCTTGGTTACCTGCTTTTTGATCAACTCCTCTGGGCCACAGAGAAAGAAGATCCAGACAGTCCTGATGAGTCCTGATTGCCTAGAGTCAAATATTAGGTGAGTAGGACCTCTTTGATCAACTTCCCCTGGGGGTTGTAGCCTTGCTAGGCCACAGAGGTTAACAATGCAGCCAGTCCTGATGAGACCTGATAGGCTAGGATAAAAAAGAATGGGAAGAGGACCTCCCCAATGAGTGCAATAGGGGAGGGGCTTAGGGAGAGAAGAGAGAAAGAGGGTGGGATGGGAGGAGATTAGGAAGGGGGACAGCCATGATAAAAAGTAAATAAATTGTAATAAATAATAAATTAAAAAAAAAACAAAAAATAAACCAGATTCCATTAAAAATAAATAAAATTAAGAATGTAATGGTAACTGGCATACCATAGCTGAGTGTCAGAAAGGGAGCTACATAAAAGTTATTAAGGAAAATGAGTAAGAGACATATGCTAAATATAAATGATGTTGGAATTATGATCACTGGAGTGGAAAGTTCTCATTTCACAGTATGAATCACAGAGTATGCAAGAAGAAGCCCTGTTCAAATAGGAGGCTCTGAGACTCTTAATATTATGCTATGAGTTTATTTTCAATCTCTAAGAAAATGTGTCAGGGAGAATATATCTTGGTCTGTGAATGGAACCATACGGTTAGAGTTCTTATGACTGATGAAAAGTAATAGTTAATTGGTGTTTTTAGAAAATGGCTGATGCCACATGCCTACAATCCTAGCACTTCGGGGAGGCTGCAGTTACCAATGGAAGTCAACCCCTGGCAGTGTCTGGAAGGCCAGGAACCAAAGGTAGGATAGCCCAAAGATATTGGCCACCTAATATCAGTGGCTAATAATAATAATAATAATAATAATAATAATAATAATCCTAAGGATATTCTGCTCTGTTAATAATTTCATGCCTAGCCCAATTGTTATCTGAGAGGTATCACCCAGCAACTGATCGAAACATATACAGAAACTCACAAATAGCCATTTGGCAAAGTTTGGAGAATTCTATGGAAGAGTGAAGCAAAGGATTGAAGGAGTCAAAGATGTCAAGGACTTCACAAGAAAACCTACAGAATCAACTAACATGGCCTCATAAGTGCTCACAGAGACTGAACCACAAACTAGGGAGCCTGCATGAAACTGACCTAGGCTCTTTGCACATGTTACAGTTTTGTAGCTTGGTCTTCTTGTGGGATTCCTAACAGTTGGAGCAGGGACTGTCTCTGTCTCTGTTGCCTAACATCAGGACCCTTTCTTCCTTCTGGGGTATCTTATTTAGCCTTAATAAAAGAGGAAGTGCCCAGTCTTACTGCAACTTGATATGCCATGGCTGGTTGATATTCACCATTGGTAGACCCACCCTTTTCTGAAGAGAAATGGAGGAGTGTGTGTTTGAGGGAGGTGATACAGGGAGTAAGTGGGAGAAGAGAAGGGAGGGGAAACTGTGGGTGCGATGTAAAAAAAAAAAAAGTTCAGTATCAGTTCATAAGCTGAGGAACCAGAATGAGGTAATGTCTGTAGCAAAGATATGGAAGGAAAGGAGAAATAGCAATTGCCTGGCCAGGGGAAAGTAAGGATACAATAATGCTTCAGCAAGATCCTTAAGGATGGATAATTTATGAAGTGAAAAGACACTACTTTAACTTAGAATCGTAGTGCATGTGCTACAGTATAGTATGACCCATTAAGGTTTATGCTCAGCCATGAATTTGACAAGAAATGGATTATCAAATTTCTGGAGCTGAAGAGAAGGCTCAGAGGCAAGGAGAGCATATGGTTATTTTTGAAGAGGATCCAAGTTTATTTCACAGCTTGTTTTCTGAAGACTAACAGGTATCTGAAACATTAATTAGAGGAGAGCTGATGCCTCTAGGCTCTGCAGACATCTACACTCATCTTTAGATACCCATCCACAGACAAACAGAACAACACACACATGCGCAATTAAAAATAAATTCCTCATTTTTGCAAATTTCTTTGGAAGTTTTGTTTTGCTAACATTATGTTCTACAACATATTCATCAAAAATCTCAAACTCAAATTAGCAGCAAAGTCAAAGACTTCTATGAAATTACAAGGGAGTGATTTACAAAATGGCTAATGGCTTCACATAGAAAGCACTATACCAAAGGTCAGGAACAGTTCAGAATATGCGAGATGTTTAACAAGTGCTCTAAGAAAATATTAACATTATTATCATAGAGAGCAAAGTCTGTGAAATAAGATGAGAAAGTTAACAAGTGCTCTAAGAAAATATTAACCTCGTTATCTTAGTGAACAGAGTTTGTGAAATAAGATTAATGGCACAGAGGAAATAAAAATCATTTTATAAAATGTGAAAAGTTTTGTGATATTATGTAAAATTTGAAGTAAGGAAAAAGGTGCAATGGTGTATAACATCACTTGAATTTTTTGGAACTGATACCCAGATATACAGGTATCATTAAAAATCAAAGTGGTTGAACCAGTTTACATTCCCACCAGCAATGGAGGAGGGTTCCCTTTTCTCCACAACCTCTCTAGCATGTGCTATCACTTGAGTTTTTCATCTTGGCCATTCTGATGGGTGTAAGGTGAAATCTCAGGGTTGTTTTGATTTGCATTTCCCTAATGGCTAATGAGGTTGAGCATTTCTTTAAGTGTTTCTCTGCCATTCGATGTTCCTCTTTCGAGAATTCCCTGTTTAGCTCTGTTCCCCATTTTTTTAATTGGATTACTTGGTTTGTTGCTTTTCTGCTTCTTTAGTTCTTTATATATACTGGATATTAGCCCTCTGTCAGATAAAGGGTTGGTGAAGATTCTTTCCCAATCTGTAGGCTGTCTATTTGTTTTGATGACAGTGTCTTTTGCTTTACAGAAGCTTTTCAGTTTCATGAGGTCCCATTTATTGATTGTTGCTCTTAGAGCCTGTGCTATTGGTGTTCTGTTCAGGAAGTTGTTTCCTGTGCCAATGAGTCCAACCACTTTGGAAGTCAATCTGGCGCTTTCTCAGACAACTAGGAGTAGTGCTACCTCAAGACCCAGCTATACCACTCCTAGGTATATACCCAAAATTTGCTCAAGTACACAACAAGGACATTTGTTCAACCATGTTTGTAGCAGCTTTATTTGTAATAGCCAGAACCTGGAAACAACCCAGATGTCCATCAACGGAGGAATGGATACAGAAATTGTGGCATTTTTACACAATGGAATACTACTCAGCAATCAAAAAGAAGGAAATCATGAAATTTGCAGGCAAGTGGTGGGATCTAGAAAAGATCATTCTGAGTGAAGTATCCCAGAAGGAGAAAGACAAACTTGGTATATACTTGCTTATATAGACCTACAAGATATGATAAACATAATGAAATCTACACACCTAAAGAAGATAATCAAGAAAGTGGACACAGGCGAAGGTGATTAATCCTCATTGAGAAAGACAAATGGGATGTGCATTGAACGTATGACAGGAGTCTACCACAAAAGGCATCTGAAAGACTCTACCTAGCAGTGTTTCAAAGCAGACACTAAGACTCATAACCAAACCCTCGGCAGAGTGCAGGGAATCATATGAAAGAAGGGAAGTTAGTATGATATGGAAAGGATAGGAGCTCTACAAGGACCAAATATATCTGGGCACAGGGTCTTTTCTGAGACTGACACTCAACCAAGGACCATCTATGGATATAACCTAGAACTTCTGCTCGGATGTGGCCCGTGGTAGCTCAGTAACCAAGAAGTTTTCCAAAGTAAGGGGAACACGGACTATTTCTAACAGGATCTCAAGGGCAGGCTGTTTGACACCCCCCCCCCCCAGGGGAGGAGCAGTCTGTTAGGCTACAGAGGAGGACTTTGCAGCCAGCCTTGAAGGTATCTGATAAAACAGGGTCAAATGAAAGGGGAGGAGGTCCTCCCCTATCAGTAGATTTGGAAAGGGGCAGGGAGGAAACCAGGGAGGGAGTGCGGGGTTGGGGAGGGAATGAGGGAGCGGAACAC